ACACCCGAGTTCCCCACATTTGGGGGAATCGCAAGGGTCAACCTCAGCCAAGTGCAATGCCGAGGTCTCACCTTGGGAGGACATCCCTTCTTGATCAAAGTCACTCCTGTGCCAGGTAAGTATGCTTGGCCAACGACAATATTCTGTAGTATAATATTAGAAATACTGTGGCCTACAGGTGTCATTTCAACACTTCTTTTCTTCTGGCTTTTGAAATTTTCATTACGATCATCTTATTATAATAAATAATACAGTACAATTTTTGTATTTAAATCTTTTAAAGTTAGTTTTTATAAGCGTATATCTTTTCAAGTATAAATATAACACCAATGATTCTGTATTACAAATGTTTTCTGATTATATTGAATATGCAAATTAGTTTAATAATTCCTGATCAATGTGTTTCAACAAAGAGGTCATTGTTTGCCATCAGGTAGTAGCCTACAATACGCTTAAAAGCTATATTGATATACGTAAAACTATAATAAACTTGAAAATCTCCCCACAGCAAAGAAACTCTTACATTTAGTAAGCAATTACTTTTTTAACGGTTATAAGTTGATTATAGAATATATTTTATACAAATACGAAAAAAAAAACAACATTCGATATAAAATATAGGCCAATTGTCATTAATAGCGAAATATACAAATCAAACATATCCTATATTTTCAAGTTTACAACGGTGTAAGTTTTTCTGTACCCGAATAACCTCATTCAAGCAAACAGAAATACTATTTGTGAAGTGTTTACATATCAGTTCTATCTTTTAATTCGTGTTAGGGGTTAGCGCGAACGCAGTCCCCCGCTACCATAAATTATACACCCGAGTTCCCCACATTTGGGGGAATTGTAAGGGCCAACCTCAGCCAAGTGCAATGCCGAGACCTCACCTTGGGAGGACATTCCTCCTTGATCAAAGTCACTCCTGTGCCAGGTAAGTATGCTTGGCCATCGACAATATTCTGTAGTATTATATTAGAAATACTGTGGCCTACATGTGTCATTTCAACACTTCTTTTCTTCTGGCTTTTAAAATTTTCATTACGATCATCTTATTAGGCCTATACTAAATAATACAATTTTTGTATTTAAATCTTTCAAAGTTAGTTTTTGTAAGCGTATATCTTTTCAAGTATAAATATAACACCAATGATTCTGTATTACAAAGGTTTTCTGATTATATTTAATATGCAAATTAGTTTACTAATTCCTGATCAATGTGTTTCAACAAAGAGGTCATTGTTTGCCATCAGGTAGTAGCCTGCAATACGCTTAAAAACTATATTGATATACGTAAAACTATAATAAACTTGAAAATCTCCCCACAACAAAGAAACTCTTACATTTAGTAAGCAATTACTTTTTTAACGGTTATAAGTTGATTATAGAATATATTTTATACAAATACGAAAATAAAAAACAACATTCGATATAAAATATAGGCCAATTCTCATTAATAGCGAAATATACAAATCAAACATATCCTATATTTTCAAGTTTATAACGGTGTAAGTTTTTCTGTACCAGCATAACCTCATTCAAGCAAACAGAAATACTAATTGTAAAGTGTTTACATATCAGTTCTATCTTT